AAAACGCCGCGCGCCCCCGAAAGTCTCGTGCCTGTCATGGTCTGTGACAGGATGCTCTGAACTGAGATCAGCTGCCAACACACACAAATTAATACCCGTTTTTAAACTCCACTGAAGTGCTCAGCGCTGCAGGAAGATTTCTAGGCAGAAAAGGGGAGGAAATGTCACGTGAAGGGGTAAACCATGAGGACAGTCCTGCTGAGGAGAGCATTCCAGCACGGCCTGCGAGTGGGACTGGGACAGGGCTTGGAACTCCAACACCACCGGAGTTATCCTGTGTTACACCTCATTCCTCTCATCAAAACAACAAACCTGGTTTAGGAATACAGTTCCATAGAAATACCAGCAGATCTGGCCTTAATACACAGGTTTCTAATTAACACCAACTTTAGTGTCTTGTGTGAGCCAAGAGGTCTCTGGGGTCCTTGATCAGGGAATAATTCTGGCCTGGATTGATGCAGCTGTGCACAGGGGGCTCAGGGCTCCAAGACTTTGGTTCCAAAGCACTTTTAGGGAATCTTCCCATGGCACAGAGGGCACTCACAGGGCTCCTAGTGATCCATGAGGCTGCCAGGACAGGGTAGGGACTAAAGCATCTTTTCCAACCAGCTCCTGACAAAGCAGGAGGAAGAAAGAGATATGGAAAATACCCTGAGGTTGTAAGATTTTTTTTTTTTTAAAGTTCCATTGAGAAATTATTCCTGGGATTTGATTTGTTGCCATTCCCATTGGCATCTCTGGGAAATTTTCTTTTTATAAATAAAATATATTTTAAAGTTAAATGTCTTGCTTCTAGGTTTTCTGGTGCAACCCAGTGAAGAACACTGCCTAATAGCTTTGTAGAAAATAAAGCCCAATTATCTAATAGGCCTTGGATCTGTGCTGCAATTGTAGCAACGGGATGGGCGCCCCAAGCAACAGGAACTGTGCAAATACAGAAAGTGAGCAAAGCCACAGAGATTCACCATTTCAAACAAAAACTGCTGCAGTCATCCAGTCACTCAGCTCTGCAGCTGTGGGATGGAATATGGTCTGGAGCTGCTGCCTGCTAGAGAGCCCAAAATTAGACAATTCAGAGTGGTTTGGGTTGGAAGGGACATTAAAGCTCAATCAATTCCACCCCCTGCCATGGGCAGGGACACCTTCCACTATCCCAGGGTGCTCCAACCTGGCCTTGGACACTTCCAGAGATCCAGGGGCAGTCACAGCTGCTCTGGGCATCCTGTGCCAGGGCCTGCCCACCCTCACAGGGAGAAATTTCTGCTGTGTTTCTGCTTTCACTTTGAGCCAATTACTCCTTATCCTGTGACTACACTCCCTGATAGAGAGCCACTCTTTGATGCTAGGAGGACTTATACAAGAGTAATTAGAAAATATTATCTATATGTGTTAGATGCTGCTGTTCCAAGAGCATTTTCCTGTGTGCTGCTGGGAGGCCTGGCTGGCTTTGTGGCCTTTGGCAAGATTCTTCTCTGTCCTTTCACTCCTGTTCCCTGCTCAGCATCCCAGAATAAGCTCCAACACGGGATCCTGCCTCAGCAGGAAGGCAATCTTGTTAACAGAGGGAGAACACAGTTCCTGACCCTTGAAGAGCCCTGAAACTTTGGATTTATTCTTCTTGCTGATGTTGGTTGCTTAGCTACAAATATTCTCAATGCTCATAAAGGCCTCTCTCCATTAGTCCTCACCGCAAGGTTTTAAGTCCAGCCACAGTTTATTTTTCTTGAAACCTAGGTGATGAAATTTCTCCATCTGAGCTGGAGAATGCCCTGTTCCCTGTGCAGAGCCTGACAACTGCTGTTAGCACGAGCAGGAGCAGAGGAGATGTCACCCTCCAGCACCTAAGATGGGCAACAGAGCCTGGCTCTGATGCAAGAGCACGCTTAAAAAAGGAAACAGAAAGGGAAGAAACAAGTAAGAGCCAAGACTGATGAACCAAACAGCCTGCAGCTCAACCAGAGCTGCTGGCAGCTCATCCTGTGGAGCTCTTCTGAGGCAATGCCTTGAAACGTGATGGGTCTGCTCAGCATCTGCTCCCAGCAGCCCGAGGCTCCCAGCTAAACCAGCCGTGGGCAAACCAGGCTGGATGGGATCAGCTGGTACAGGTCTGGCACAACATCCCCAACACATGATGCTGTCCCCACAGAGCTCCCTCTCCCCAGCCCCTGACGTGTGTCCCTCACTGCCTGAGGAGCATGTGGCTGTCACCAACAGCTCTCCCAGTGCTGGAAGGTGGGAGCATTCCTTAACCTGAGGAGCACCAGCTCCATCCCACCCTGCACTGCCTCTGAGGGACAGGAAAAGGCCATCAACAGGTGACGTGAGTCACTGGGAAATGATGGTCTGGTCTCAGGCAGGGAGAAATAAAATTACTGTGGAAACAATCACCTCGAAGAGCTGCCCGGTGGAGAACAAAGGAAGTTGGTCTGGGTAGGAACCTGGGGACAATGGTGGCACCAGCTGTGGGGACAGGGCAGGCAACAGAACTCAAAAGTGGGCTTTTTCCTGCCGGCTGAAATTAGAGAACAATGAGCAAAACCTCTGTGGTAGGAAAGGGAAGCAGCTCAGCAGGAACACACAGCTCTGGCACCCAAGTGCTTCCAGCAGGCCAGCAGCACCCAGCTCCTCCCAGCCCAAACTGGAATTCTGTAATCCCAAAATTACTGGATAGGAAGGAACAGACAAGCACACAGAACTGTGAGTGCTGTCACATTCTGATGACTAAAAGCTGGAACACTTGAACAGTGAAAAGCACCTTCTGGGCTCACAGTGCCTCATGTTTGGTGAGCAGGTAACAGAGGAACACACTGGGAGTCAAGGGTCTCTTTATCAAACTAATTTTTTTTTAACAAACAACCTTGCAATGATGCCAAGAGAGAGCAGAAAGCTCCCAGTCAGCACTGCTCTGCAATCAGCGATTAATTTGTTGCCCGATGCTTTGCTTGCTGCCCATGACAGAGCTCATAAATCCTCATTTTTATTGATGTCCTGGCCGAGGGGGCAAGCTGGAAAGGGCTGGCTTGTGCTGCAGGTGTCCTGGGCAATCACCTTGCAGGATATGACAAACTGCTTAGAGGCTTTTGTGAAGCCTTTTAATCATTTTACCAGTCTAATTCTTGTTTTTATTGTCTTTGCTGTAAATCCATGGCAGCAGCTCAATTTGCATCCTGCTCTTTCCGGGAAATGGAGCGTGAGACCATCCCACAGCAGCAGGGCAGAGGCTGTCACCTCTCAGTGCCACAGCCCCAGCACAACACAGAGCATCTCCAGTGCCACCAGCAAGGTCCCAGTCAGGCCCAGTGGAACTGGGGCCATTCTCCCCTCCCCATTCCTGGATGCTGGTGTTACCACAGTGGAGGGGATGACATGAAGAAAAATCGTGCCTGTTTAAAAAAGGACAGAAATTTCCTATATGGTGAAGAGGTGGAAGAAGGAACCAGTGCTGGGGGAAGGGAGACTCTATTGGAAAAAGTTTTCAGCCATCAATGTCTACTGGACAAGTGTGTAGAAGTATTGAAGTCTGGGTTTTAACAAGTCTTAAAATCTGGGTCTCCAGCACCTAAAATTGCGACTGAACAGAGCAGTGCCTTTACATGTTGGTATCCCAGGTGATACAACTCCAAGTTCTGTGAATGTCTCCTCTCAACACAAGTGACAATTGTATCTTATTAAATCTGTCATCAAATTGCAGGTCTCTGAAACGGTGCAAGTCAAAGAGAAGCAAAGCAGGGGGGTGTTTCTGTACAATACCCAGTGGAGCTGAGGGAGCCTTTTACATAAGAAAGGTGTTATTTCTGCCACTTTGAGCAGAAGGAAACTCAGGGAATTACTGAGTGCTTTCTCATCCCACTCACGATCTTCCCAGCTCCCCCAGTGCACTCCAGGACAGCCTGGTGTGGGCTGGGGCAGCACCAGGCACGGGGCTGTGGCTCAGGGAGTCACTGGAGGGAACAGAGGCTCTCCTGGGGAACTGGGGCTCCCCTTTGTCTCCCATCTCCCTGTGCCAATATTGGCACTCCAAGGCCACAGGAGGCGGCTCAGCCTCACCAGAGGCTCTGTTATCTTGCCAAGCCCCACAGCAGCTCTCTTCTCCCGAGCTCCAGTCCTGCCCAGGGACACTTCCCACTAATTGCTGTGCAGTGGGAAGGAGGGTGGTGCCAGGAGGTGCAAACAGCCTGCAAGGTCACACGTGCTGCTGGCTGGGCCTCTCCAAAGATCATCCAGACCCAGCCCTGCTCCATCAGTGCTGCTCAGAAGACCTGAAGTCATGGCTGGGAACCAAGAGGAAGCAAGGAGAGTCCTATCAGCTTACCTCTGAGCATTAACACAACCATTAATTACCACTTGCTCGTCAAGCTACAGCTTAATGAGGACCAATAGAGATGGGGCCATGACCTTTTCTCCCTCCTGCACACTCCTTTCCTTACACCCATGCTCTGAGCCATGATCCCTGGTCCTGCCTGGGGTAGATGCTCAGCATCACTGCTGGGACAACTCTTCAGCTGTGACCAGCTCACAAATCTGAATGAGGCTTAAAGCAAGCATTCCCTGCTGTCATTCTATTTAGGTGTTCCTAGTGCAGGTATCACAGAATCCCAGAACAGTTTGGGTTTGAAGGGCCCTTAAAGTTCATGTTGTTCCAAACCCTTGTCAGAGGCAGGGAACCTTTCACTAGACCAGGCTGCTCATATTATTATAAATATGCTTTGTTTTTAAGCTTTGCTGGGATTATTATTTGCTGCATTTATTGGCCAGTGCATGGCTATGAGGGCTAAGAGGGATTCCACTGCTGTTTAAGGTACTGCAAGTGACACTGGCCACCCTGCAACTTTTGGGAAAAAGGAGATGGGAGGGAAGAAATGTGTCTGAAGCCTAATGAGGACACAAGCACTTGCCAGATTTTAATTTCAAATTCTTTCTTTTCAACCATATCCTTTTCCGCTGGGCTCTGCAAAGAGCAGAGTTGGACAATCGTACAGGAAACTGGGAGAGACTAACAATGGAGGAGGAGTGGAGAGGGGAGTGGAACCAGCCTGTCTCCTTGTACTCAAAATGAAACATGATAAAGAAACAAACTGCATAAAGGATGACTAACAAAGACAGCTTTAAAAATCATTCCAGGGTTAGTCTTCTCAGGTTGACAGCAGGAAAGGACATTCGGTTTCACACATTACGTCAGTTTTAGTCCATCTCCCTTTCAAGTTCTCTGTCTGCTCTTACCACAGATCCAGCCACCCACACCCTCTGAGACCGCCTGCAGAACCCCAGGCACGGCCACTTCTTTACAGTCACACAGATCTTTTACAACGGCTTTGGAAAACCTCTGCATTCTGCCTGGCCCCTCTGCTCCCCATGGATGGGAGGGAATTGCTTGCCCAGTGTCCGTGGACAATCCACCGAATGAGCAAACCCTTCCCACAAACCCTGTCACCAGCTGATTCCTGCACGCTCCTCTCTCCCGCGATGCCGGAGGGAGCGCCGGAGGTTCCTTGGCGGCTGATGGAATACCGAGGTTGGCTCCAGGCGCAGCTGCCCCGACCCCCACGGGCTGATTCCACAGGAAACAGCGCAAACATCTGCACCGCCGAACTGCCTGACAGACCTCGGCAGAGCTCTGCTCCGGCACTCCAGCCTTTGGAAATCCAGCACACTGCAAGCTGCCGTAGCCCCAGCAATCCCCACCAGCTGAAACAACGGGCTGGAAAGTCTGTTTTCTCCATATCTGCTCCCTGTCCCTTTTGAAAATGCAGTATATCAATTCAAACGATTGTAAAGGTCCAGCTTTTCCAGTGTGGATCATCCAGTTCCAGAGCAAGCTCCCAAAGGCGCAGGGAACACTGTCATTGCAGTGCCATTGCACTTGGGCAGATCCTGGTGAACCACCGAAGAGAAAGGTAAGCGGAAAACTACCAGGCACTTACCCAAGCCTCCACGGGACAGGGAAATAAGATCAGGACAGAAGAAAAAGTTCAGGACAGAAAAGCAGTGCTGAGGTCCCCAGGAAAGTCAGCTGCTCCGGGAGCAGAGCGAGTCCATCCCCCGGCTCCCTCCCTCGGCCGGCTCTGCCCGGTTTGGATCCAGCTGCTCTGGAACCGCTCGCAGACTCCGGGACTGAGAGACTTCCTCTGCAGCTGATAGCGGGGTTATGAAAGTAAACTGACTATTGCCCTTTGTGAGAGGAGGAGGGGGCTGGGAAGCTCAGCCCCTTCCCTTCCTTTGTAATTCAAACCCCTCCTCGAGGCTCAGTGTTTTGGAGGAGAGGCATCTGCTCCAGCCCCGTCCCGCTGCCGAGGAGCTCACACCGGCCCTGGAGGGGAGCCAGGCTCGCAGACTGCGCTCGGAGTTTACATGACAAAGCAGCTCATTCCTAATTAAACTTCATCCAGCACTTTTCTGTCTCATACATAATTAGCGCAGAACAACAAACACAGAGGTAAGAAGGGAGAGTTTGAGCGCGGGCTGCTCTGTCTGCACCTCTGATTAATTTTAAGATTTCCTCTTTATTTATGTAGTAACTATCTCCCATCACTTCCAAAACATTCCGTATCCACCATCCCTGTTGGGCGCACTTGGCCTGACACCACTGCTAAAGACTGGGCAGGGCTGGGAGGAGGGATGGGAGGATGGATTCAGCAGTGCACATTCCTGAGCCCTCCCTGACACGGCGCTGCTCCCGAAGCCTGTCAGTGCTTCCATAGGCAACTGCACCAGGATGGGGCAGCTCTGATCTTTATTATCTTTATTACTCCCTGAAAGCAGTTAATCTTTAAAGCTCAGACTATAACTGCTGTCATCTTAGCTCGCAGCCTCCTTCTGTTGGTATTTACAAGTTACATTTTAAATTGTAAAGAAGTCCAGGCACACGGGAGTTTGTCCACAAACCAGACAGACGGGAGTTAAAGCACATTCTCTTCAAATCTGCCTGAAATCTAAACTTTTATTATTAGTCATCCCCAGTGTGATAATAAACTCTAGTCCATGACAGCAACATATGGATCTCATCTCCACTGTAGTCCAATATTACAATAATCCATAGTGACCTGCTAAACAGGCTCAATCCAACAGATTTTACTTCACCCTGTCAATGAGAAAGTTCTGGTATATGACAGAAATAAAAGAAAAAATCTGGAATATTTTGTTTCATTTCCCACAACGCCCTAGGACTCCCAAATATGTGTGTCTGTATTGTTCTAAGACACAAGGAGCTTGTTTTTCTTCTAATTACACTGGTTTGAAGTAATTATTCTCATGTATTCTCCATGTACATGAGCATATCAAAATAGGAATTGACCCAGTATCAAATATTCCCTGTTTCAGGAATTATTCCAGCTGCTTGTAACACTGAAGGTCCATGAGAGCCTGGGAGAATGTATCCACATGCAGGCTTATCTCTTCATTTCAGACCATTCATCATCCCTTGCCTGGAAGCAACAGTTAATTTCCAACAACTCAGTGTCAAGATGGCAGTTTAAATCCTCTTGAGGATTGCCCCAGGAGAAGATTTTGTCCCAGTTCTTTTGCAGCCACTGTAGAGTCAGCCTCTTTTGATGTCACTCAGTTTTAGAGTGTGATTGAAATAAAGAAAGAGTGAAGATCTGCTGGTGACCATCCCAACCCAAGGAAGGATCAAATCTCCAGAGCCTTCTCTTGGGATTTCAATAGGGACAGAAATTAAGAGTCAGAATGGTTTGGGGTGGAAGGGACCTTAAAGATCACCCATCTCCCTCCCTCCTGCCATGCTCAGGGACACCTCCCACTACCCAGAAAGGAAAAATACATCCTGCCAGAAAATGCTGCATGTCATGGAGAGGATTTCCTAGGGTTACCATTTTCTCTGGATATAGATTAGCACAACTCTTGCATGAAGTAGGAGATACTTCCAACTTAGAGTGGGGGAGAAGGACCTGAGCCAACACCAACACACTGGACCTTTCTGAAAAGGCCACATCCCAAACAGACCTGTCCCCCACACCTCCCAAACAGCAACCCTGATAAAATCCCCAGGAAGAACCCGCAGAGCAGAGTCCTGACATCCCCTTCTCCCCTTTTCTCTTACATTTATTTGGATTCAGCTTTATCTCTTTAAGGACTCTCTCAGCACATTTTACTGGTGTCAGTGCCCCTTTTACCAAGGACAATCTGCATGGAACATTTTGGAAAGCAATGATTTAAGAAGCTGCAGGCAGCATGGCAGAGTGGCTGACGAGCCATCTCTGGAAATCAGAAGGTGTCTAAAGAGGGTGTTTACAAGCAGAACGCTGCTAAAAGTCTGCCTTGGTTGCAGATAACAAGGCTGAGACAATGACAGATTTCCTTCCCCTGGCAGCCAAGAGCAGCTCCCCGTGATTGCCTCGCCGTGTTTATCCAGGATGCTGGGAGAGAGCAGGCACCAAATATGCAATTAATTGGCAGTTTGCAAGAGCATATTGCCTAAAGATAAACAGAGTGGGTGATCGTGTCGTATGGAAAACGGCTGAGTGCTGCAGATGTAGTGTTGACCCAGTTAAAAAAAAAAGAAGTTTTTTTTTGTTCTCTCGGAAAATAAATGTACTGAAATGAATACTTTCTTTCTTTTTGCGTGGTCCCTCCGGCTTTTGAATATTTTGTGTACGTAAACCATTCCAGGTTCTTTCCTAATCTGGAAGTACATAGTAAATTATGAATTAGCTGAAAAGTTTTCCTGCTGACATCAGAGGAGCAGGAGGGACACTGTGACACTGAGTTAATGGCCTTCACTCTTCACAGAGGGGGTTTTGTGAGCAGGACAAGACACGACTGGATCTAAGTGGGAATCAGGTGATGTGGAAAGGAACAGAACTGCCCAGGTCAGTGGATGTGGAGATCAGGTCCAGAGAGAGGAATGGTTTTTCCCAGAATCACGGAATCACAGAATGGTTTGGGGTGGAAGGGACACCTCCCACTGTCCCAAGCCCTGTCCAACCTGGCCATGGACACTTCCAAGGCTGGGGCAGCCACAGCTTCAGGGAGGATCTGGACCAGGATCAGGGGCCTGGCAAATGGAGAGTGCTGTGAGTGGGAGCGACAGGCTCCGGTTTCCAAATACAGATATTTCAGACAAAAAGGCACAAAGATGACATGAAACCCAGAGTCAGGGAAGGAAGAAGATACAGGAGAAGACTGAATGCTACTGAGGAGCTCAGGATAGGATACACACTGTGGAAAATACTCTGAGGCTGGAAAGGGAAGAGGAAAGGCAACCTGAAGGTGATGCTGCTCAAGCTGGGAAGAGACAGAAGAAGGGATATCTGTGACACCATCAGGGCAGCAGAACAAAAGCTGTGGATCAAGTGCAAGGCACAAATGCTAAAGAGAGAAGCTCTCACTTTCAGGAGATGTAATTCATTGGGAGGAAAGTCCTGATGTAGAATTTCAGACTGAATGTTCTGCAGTCCCATGCAGCAGTAGCAGGCAATGAAAATCAGTGCCCTCACAGGACAAAAGGACACTCTCCCCTCTCCTTTTTTATATTCAGTGCTATAAAACTCAAACCCAAAGCACATGACAGATCTCTCACTTCATTTTACTGCAACCACACTGACCTTACCAGCACTGGTCAGATCCAACAGGAAAACAAGTCACAACCTGGCAACTTCTTTGCAGGAATAAAGCACCGAGATTGTATCTGGCCTGACCAACGTGATGACACCAAAAATGCCTTTAGAGGAATTCCTGATCCCATGGGGAGATTGCTCCAGCAGGCTTGGACTTGTTGTGTTGCTGGATCCTCTCACTGTGCCCTGGGCCCAGGCTCTGAACAGAGTGGATGGGGTGCACTGCACATTCCACAGGTGAGGACCTTCCTCCTTCCACACTGAGGTGATTCCAGGTGAACTCTTCATGCAGGACTCAGTCCAGATTTCCTTTGCATTCCCCCAAAGGCCAGGCCTCAAGAAGGAACTGGAACACCAACACAGGAGCTTGGTGTTTCAGAAGCATGGCAAAAATTCAGCAGCTTTTTTAAAAATCTTTTGCTTTTAGATCAAAGTTTCTGTATTTGGGTACCTAAAATTAGCTAGCAAAATAAGTGACATTTTATTCAGAGATGCAAAATTTCCATTGATTTTAATGGATTCAGCATCCCAGAAAACTAGGCCACTTATTTATGTACCTACATAAGCATTTGAATCCCTAACTTGAAGGAGCCAAGTTTGTAAATGATGACCTTATGTTTTAAAAATCATGAGACAACTCTGCATGCATCAGTCTGTTATTCCCTTTATTTTGTCAGCAAGGCTCATTCAGAGGTAGATTTAAGCTGTAAAATGTGCCTTTAAAGTTTCCTGCAATAAGGTCTCCTCTATTTAGCAAAACACTTAGGCACAGCTTAATGTCTTCCTGAAGAGAAGCACTTGAGTGAATCAAGGCTAACAGCTTCCTCACAGTCCTCTTTGAGATGAGGAACGAATCTCTGTCTCCCCACAGAAAATTGCTGATCCTGATGGGAATGGCTCAGCAGCCTTGAAGACTCTTTCTGCCTCATCACTTCACCTAGGAACAGGCTAACATTGCACAGCACTTGGGTCTACACAGCACAGCAAAGTAACCACACTGAAAAAACACTCCACGGGTGCTCCAGGCCAGGCTGATGGGACTTGGAGCAACGTGGGACAGTGGAAGGTGACCCTGCCCAGGCAGGGGCTGGGACTGGGTGAGCTTTAAGGTTCCTTCCAACCCAGAGCATTCTGTGGCTCCAGGATTCTGCAGGGATGTGAGTTTTGGGCAGGGCCGGGGTGGAGGGAGGGAAAGGGCAGCAAGAAGCAGCCAAACCCCAAGCAGGAGGTGTCCCTGGGGAGGGCAGGTGTAAAGCAGTGAGGCACCATCCCTTTCCTGATGCAAAACCTCAACCTGTTCCTTACCTTGTAACTCCTCTCTGGTAATCCTGTGCCCCTCAACAAACTGCCACGTGGCTGCTTAAGGAAAGAGCTGTATAATTTATCTCTGATTGTTTCAAACACTTGGCAGGAAACAATAGATAAAAACTGACAGGACCTTCACAGTTAACAATGCAACCTAATGAAGTGAAATACTGCTCAGAGAAATATTGTGACAGGTATCCATGGATTCAAATAAAGGAAAAGATGTGGTGGGGTAGATTGGGCTCTGCAGTCCTTCAGCCCTGACTGTGAAGAGGAGTCACCAGATCTTCCTTCCCTCTGCCTCATTGTGTCAGGCTGGTTTGGTTACACAGCACTGAATGCAAGTTTGTGAAAGCACAGAAGGTAAAGAATTTCCCAGAGAGGAGCTAAAACGAGCTGAGCTCCATTCTGCCACATTTTAACATTCCTGCAGCTGTTTCCAGCAGGAGTTCACCACTGGAATGACACGGTCCATGGGAGAGAAGCAACGGGGGAAAACCCTGAACTTGGGCAAACACAGGAGCAGGAGTGAGCTGCCAGCAGAAGCATTTTGTGAGCACCACGGGGACAGTGCTGCAGGAGCTGGGCACAGGGGCTCCAGCCCAGCTCACTCCTGAAGGCTCTGGCAGGACGTGGAACCTCTGGAGGAAGAGTTACTGGCACTGCACACAGCCACAGGCTCTTTCTATTTGCCTTTATCTTACAAATTGCAGCTCAGAGCCTGAATTATTCAGAGCAGACTCCAGTGACAGTTCCTTGGAGCAGGGGGGACACAGGCACAGATGGTGGCTGCAGTTTTCCCCTGCGCAGGCGTGTCCGACCCCCAGGGGCTTTGGCTGGACAATTAGCACAATTTGTTAAGCAGGCAGGAGGCAGCGAGGTGGAGCACACGGTGGGGGTGGAACCAGCCCCTCTCCTCGTGCTGTCCTCACAACAGAGGATGCTGAGATGAGCTGCACCCCTGCCCTGGCAGGGGACAGACCCCAGGATGTACTGGGCTGGTTATTTGTGGTGTCACCCACTGGCTGAGCTAAAATGGCATTAGATACTCCAAGGTTTAATGACCAAAAGCACTGTCAGGGAGCTGTTCCCTGTTGTGATCTTCTTGTAGGCAAGGTACAATTGTCTCAGTGTGCTGTGAGGAGGCTCTGTGCACAGAGCAGGATCAATAACTTGATGATAAATCTATCTATATCTATATCTACACACTGCTGACTGTGACACAGACCTGGTCACCCCTCACAACAATGTTTCTGGCTGCTTGGTCCCCCTCCATGCTGCCAGCCTCCTTCTGCCTTGGCCACAATGGAGAGAGACATTAGGCTGCAGCCTTCCCAAAAAATCACAGGCAAACAGAGCATCTGGACTTTGAGGCAAGTTAAACACTGGGAACTAATTTGGTTTCCATGGTGAAGGGCTGTGAAGTTTCACTTACCCTAGGAAGAATGGGAGGTTTCCATTTGCTGGCCTCAGGTAAAAGTACAAAGAAAATTACATCTGGATTGGAGTGGAGACAACTGACTGGGAGAAAACTAAGGAGAAAATGAAGGGGGAAATGGTGCAGCTCCAGCAGCACTGCCTGTGTAACACCAGTGTCATGTACCCTGGCCAAATTTTTGTTATTACCTGTCCAACTCTTTTACACAACTCAATAAAGGACACCCTGACCTACAGTGGGAATGTGCTCCAGCAGCTCTGAGGAAACAAACAGGCAAATCCCTGGCAAGGCAGGAGAAGGGAATTGTGATGTGTGGAGGCACTGGAGCCCACGCAGGGCTCAGAGCCCAGGGTGACCCCTCTGTCCCAGGGGCAGATCCTCTGCCCCCATGGCCACAGTCCCTCTGCACATGGTGAGTTTATCTGCTCTGGACAAACCTAGAGAGGGAACATTTCAAAAAGCATCTGGTCTGCTCTCAGCAGTCCCTCCCAGCACCAGGATGCAGCATTCCCCAATAATTTAAGCTAAAGCTGTTCAAGGGAATGTGAGACGTGCCAGGCTCTGTATTTCTAATGGAAGCTGACACTGCCAGCACTGGAAATCAGATGGGAAGAAGCCCTCAGACAAGGAGACTGATTAAAAAACATAACTGACAATGGCAAATAGCTTAAAGGATTTAAAACCCCCAAAATTAAATCCATCCTCAACCCAAAAATAAAACACACAGAAAATCTTTACTTTTATGCAAGTCAAAGTTAATTTAAAGGCAAGGCAATACTCTAAAGGTCACATGGATCCTTCACGTATCCACACACCTGATAGTCAAGGCTCTGTTTTCGAACTGCACTTGAAATTAATTTAAAATTTACTGATGATTCTGAACTCATTAAACTAGAACTTCACAGGAGAAGGCAAATAGGGGCAACTGGATCAGATCAAACATCATTTTCTGGGTGGCAAGAGGGAAGAATCCTCCTGCCTGGAGCACTGAAAAGATGCCAGGAAGTCTTTGGAGGAGCTTCCCCTCTGCCCTGTCCCGAGGGACCTGCACCCAGCACCAAAGGCTCTGCAGGTGTGTCTCCACTGCCAGCTCCAGCCCCCACTGCCTCACAATTCCCT